TGATGTAGCTCTATAAAGTTACTGGTCAAATTTTTTTTAAACTTCTTAGATAAAAAGTTATAGCCATTTAAAAAATTAAAGCACTTTATATAACTATTGAGTATAGATGTTTTGCACCATATCAATTTTTATAATAAAAAAAGTCTATTATTAAACTTACTATTACAAGACTTACAGTATGTAGTAAAGGATAATTTAATTTTTTTAACTTATCATGAATTGCTGTAAAAAAATTTTTTACAGAACTTGAATTACTATAATAATTGTTATTGAAATTGTTTATTATTATAGTAATGGTATATGGTTAAAATTAAATTAGTTTACATTAGAATTATCATAATCTCTACCATAAAGTACTATAAAAAATTATGGTATAGAACTTGTTCATTCTTTTACTACAATATTGTTTATTACTATTTGGTGCAATTTTATGTTTCATATAGGCAAAAATTCTCAGTTGAAACACAGTGATTATTAAATTTATAAGCAATTAGGTCACAATTAGGTACATATGTACAAAAATTTATAAACATCAGGTTACAATCAGGTACAAATTTAAGAGTAAATTCATAAGTGATTCATAAGCATTGTTGGGCTTACAATCTCTGACCAAAAAATCACCTTTATTCTCAATAATCATGCTATATCACATAAATAATTGGCTCAAATTTTATTTAACCTAATCACTCGAATTAAATCATCACAAAATTGGAGATTTTCGCCTATATGTTTTTGTGAATTGTGGAGCATACACAACCATGCTTTTTAAAAGTTATATTGCTGTATTGGTCCAGTGATCATTATGAATTTAGAAATGATTAACAAATTCTTTCGCTCAAGTTTTGATGATCAATGATTATCAACTCATCAGCACAGTAAAAAATTTGACGAAAAAAAACAATTATTAAATATATCCAGTAGAGACATACAAATTTATGTCGATCACTGATTTTATATCTAAAATTCTTATTTCACTATCATCTGTTATCATATCTCTAGTTTTTGTATGCATACATTTGGTTATTTTGATTTTTTCTCTTCCTGTTAAAATTTTAATGCGTATATTTAAGTAGAGTAGAGATATCCTGAACACAACTTTAACTAACGAATGTTATGATAACAATTATTATTTACTTAGATTTTTGATCATTAATGGCGTAAATGTATTCATTCCTCCGCCAAAAGCAGAACTGACTACTGTTTTCATTAATAGTAAGATTTATTTTTATGGTGGAGATACTTCGACTGTTATTCTTTCTGAATTTTTTATCTAGATGTTTTAATTCTGTTTATAATAAACAACTTAGAATCAATGCCCTGGTTTAATCTAACTCCAACTACAGACTTGCCATCAAGAACTGGCTTAACAACCTGTGCTTATGGTGAAGATAAAAATCGAATTGATTATATTGGTAGCAGGCTTATTGTAGGAGAACGTTACACCACTGTTTATGATATTGCAACACAACGATGGAATACACCAAAAAAATCAGAAAATTTTACAACAAATAGATGGTTTTTACAGCGTGTTGTTTCAGGAAATGATACATATGTCTATGGAAGAAATATAGGTCAAACAAATATGTTAACTTGGACAGAAATTCCTTCAGGAATATTAGCTCCCGTTGGTGTTCAAGGATATACTGCTATGCTTTTAAACAATAAATCTATATTATATATTGGAGGTCAACAAGGTGGAGATGTCACGTCCATTGTTAGAAATCTTATGTTCTCATGTTCTCTTTGAGAACATTTGATATTCTGTAAATGTTCTCTATGAAAAAAATTTTGGGACAAAAATTGAAACATTATACGAGTGCATAATCGATTATTGATCATTGTTTTAAACTAATCGGGTTTTCGGGTTTTCATATAAAATTTTTTTTTTGTAAATCTCGCCATTCTCAACCATTTCGAAAACAGCGATAATTCAAATAGTTATCACTATATAATTTGAATAATGACTCTTGGAGTGTGATTGTAAGTTCCTTGATTTACTATGTTTTAAATGATGATTTTACTTATTTATTTTGTATTAAACTATATCAGGAAATATTTCTTCGTCAAAATATGACCATGGGGCAGTCTATACGCAAGATAATCAAGTATTTCTATGTGCTTTTTTCTTAAAAAATGGAAACGCAGAAAAAGGCGATAGTCTTATGTTTTTTGTTCTTGATTATAATAAATATTTCTTTTTTTGTATATTTAACACAATTTAATCAAGTCTTAATTCATTATAGATATCCCAATTCTAATTCTCCAATTATAGCACTTGATACAAATCAATTTAAATGGTCAATTCCTAAATTTAAACGGTGGTCCAAATTCTTTAAGATAATTTACTTCAATACTAATTTTTATTGCGTTCGGAGCATCCAGTAAGAATATTGTTATAACATTTTTCTTAATTTTAATATAAAAATTTTCTAATAAATAATTTAAATTTCAGAATACGTGGAGTTAATAGCACAAATAACGTTTTTCTTCTTAATGTAAGTAAAAAGATAATTATGAATGGGTTACATCATATGTTCCTAACAAGAAATTTCTCTCAACTTCAACTTCGATGCCATCACCATCTGTTACATCATTTAATGTTGGTGCAATTATTGGTATTGCATTTGGAGCAATTTCTGGGCTTATAATATTAATAACTATCGCAGTTCTTATTGTTAAAAGATATGATCATCCTCTTTATTATTCTGACCCGCAAAAATCAAGTGATAAACCAAATAACGAAGTCATTGGTTAAAAGTTGGTTCAATGCTTTGATGTAAAATATGAAAATAAAATGCTGCAAATTATCATACTTCTAAGTAAATACTTAATACTCAGTTTACAGGCAAAATGTTTAATAAAATAAGCAAATATTATATAGTTATTGAATGCGTAGCAGACAATAAAGCCAATTATCTATTGTTTATAAACATCCAAAGCACGAGGCCGTTTTTGTGGATTTGAGTTCATACAACTCTCAGCCAATTCAATATAGCATATTATTTGTACATATAAATATTAAATTACATCATAAACAAAATAAATGTATTCCGGTAATTATTCATATCTCATTAAAATTTTATATATGCAATAATATAATCTATTACAAACCATTTTTTTGTATCGTACCTAAAAGTATATACATAACCTTGGATATGGGCTATACTTGTCGGACAAACTTTTGGGATTTGGGTTTGTCCATAGAAAACCTGGAAAATGGGATTGTCCAGTCAAGTCTAAAATCCCATGTGGTAAAACCGGACAAATCCTAATCCCAAATCTCAAGTTACCAAATTCCAAATCCCATCCCATGTCTCAAATCTCAAATCTCATTATTGTTATTCTGGTAATGATATATTAAGAGCCTATACGTACTATATATACATATCTTCAGTGTTGGCAATTTTATCGGCCAACGAAATTTGTTTGGCCTTTCAGCCAAAAAAACATATGAATTTGGCCAAATTTGCCGGTTAAATTGCCAACACTGCATATCTTGCATGATATAACAATTTTACCCCATCCGTAATGTGATTTCGCACAAATGTATTTTAGGTAAATTGCACGATATAAGTATAATCTTGCATGAAATATCAATATGTTAAATATACACTATGTTTATCTTGCACAAGGTACATCCTAGCATAAAATTTGGATTAAGATTTTAGGTTCGAAAACTTGAAATTTGGGATTTGGGATATTGGATGAAGTTTGGGATTTGGAATGGGGTTTTGGATTTGGCCAGAGTTTGGGATTATGACAGCCCGACTAGGGTTTGTCTGTCCGGTTTGGGATTTGGGACTTTAAAGATTTGTGTTTGTGCGGCATGTATAGATATGGCACATTTTTTTTTATATTAACTATTTTTTTTTTTTCATACAGTACCCAGATCGTTAATACTAGATTTGGGTACGTTAAACTTTTTTTATTAAGTATATATTTTTTTGTGTACCTAACACCAAAGAAAAAAAAAAAACTTGGTACGGTAATTATTATTATTTTTGTGTACCTGCTCGAAAAAATTTATCTGCGTACGGTAATTTTTCTGTACCGTACCAGAAAAGTATATACTCGTGCGAATTCATTTGTAAATTCGTATGTGAAATTAACCTTTAAAAAATCCGGTCATAATAATTAAACATATATAGTACATAACTATTGTTTGATTTATTATAGTGTTGATCACCCTAACCTGACTGTGTAATAATTTCTTTAAGTTTTTAGAAACTTGGAACGAAGTAAAGTATCTCATCAAATATCCTATTCATTTTTGTGGTATTTAAAGTTGACTCTAAACATCGAAAATGACCAGTCTAATATTGAGAAATCTCGGTCAAAATATTGAAAAAACCATATGCTTACTAATAGAATTTCGATAATATTAGAACTGGGCATAAAATTAACTGGTATAATTTTGAACATTTTATTGGCGTTACTATGATATTAATTCTATATTTCCGATTTTATAATGTGTATGAATTTGATTGATTATCAGTTATAAATTATATTTAGTCTAAATGACTTTTAAAAAAGTCAAATGAATATTACATGATATACAATAATAACAATAACCAAATGAATAAAAGAAAAATGGCAATAAAAATAAAAAATCAAAAAAGATTGAATCTCAAATACAGCTAGTATTTATATTTTACAAATTTGAAATACTTCATAATCATTTACTGAAAAAAAACCATTTATGTTTCTAATTGGCAATTGATAATTACTATTTTTACAATAATACCATTTGTTAGAGCCGGAATGATTATCATTCACTCCAAAAGAATAAAACCACGGACCACGATCTTGATCACTATAATAAATTGCTTCTGATGAATTAATTACACGACTAAGAATAGATTCTTTTACATCTCCATTTTTCAAAGAATAAATAAAGCTGTCAGTTGTCACAATAAATCCGTAACCGCTATTTGTAAATTTCCAGATAAGAGGATTATATCCTCCAAGTATTTCATCAGAATTTTTAACCTTTAAAACAACTATTGTATTAGGTATGTTGTCGCATAATTTATGAAATAGTTTACTATCGAAACCATCCCTGCTACCTCTAAGCAAAAGTTTGAATTCATATGGAATTTCTGAAATATCATAAATTGTTGAACGTCGGTCAATCCAGGAAGAGATCTCTGCTGCATGCTCTAAAGTAATTATGGATGAAGATAACGTAATGGCAGGAGAGTTTCGAGGAGGAAGTTGATTTGACAATTTTTTGCGAGGTGGCAAAATTGTTGATGTAATAGGCTTATCTGGAGAAATACATTTAGTAATAATATCATTCCATAAATTCTTTTCAAGAATTTTTTTATAAGGTTGAATTTTTCCTAAAACGTCATCACCAGGAATTTGAAAATATCTAATATGAGGAAGACAGCTTTGAAGAGTGGCTTTTAAAGATTTAAAATCTTCTTTAGTCCATTGCTCATAATTAGATGGTAAATTTGGAATTTGAGCTTTTCCCCACAAAATAACTTTATCCCAAATTATCGATTCTTCCAGTTGTAAATCCTCATTTTTTAGAAGAGAAATCAAAGCGTTCTCGTTTAGAGTAGTGAACTCATCAGAATCGAAAATCAAATTAGGATGTTTTACAACAATATTATTGCAAAATTGTTGTAAAGCTTTAAAATTTTCGTTGAGAAAGCTAATCTGATAAACACGAGAAAAATTTAGACGAAGCCAAGATGCATTATCATCAATAAGGCAAGTTTGAAGATATTCAACAGATTCTGAAAGGTTAAATTCATTGAAGGCGATCAATAGATTAAATACACCAGAAGCATCAATGCTTTCCAGAGAAATTACACCGCCATAAATATATCTAATAAGAAATATTAAACAGAATGTGAAATCGTTAATTCATAATTATAACATAATCAAATAACACACAAATAACTTACTTAATAATAATATTAAATATTTTAGCAGAAATATGAGGTAGTTTAATATTAATAATATTTTTTTTAAGTGTATTTGTTAATTTCGATTGAAAGTATGTAGAACGTTGATATAAAACTACAGAATGTGCTTTGAAAAGTTGGATATTTGGCTGTTCACCAACTTCGATTATTGTGTCATAATTATATTCACTTTCAAGAAGTTTGGTAAAATCTTGAGAAAGTTTGTCATAAAATTTTATCATCATTTTATTGGAACTTCCAATTGAACACATGTATAGTCGTACGTACTGTACGACATACATATATAACATTAGAATTTATAATCATGTGATTTCTCGTGCATGCATGCATCGAATGTGATACAAACTTTAAAATTTGGCTCATTAACAAGGTATTTATTAATTTCTAATCTTACGTTGGCAAATAATGATTAGAAGAATTAAAGGTGTACTAGTGCGATGGAAGATGCCCATATCATTCAACACTTTAACCGTACTAATGAATTATTGTATTATCTGCTATAGAACTCAGTATGTAATTAAGTAATATTAAGCATTAGAATTATTATGATTCTAACATGATGATAAAATATTCTGTTACAACTAAACCGCAAATTTGGTACTCACAATTAGTGTTGGCAGGCGAAACTAAGAGGTTTCGCCACAGACGAATGGCGAAACCTAGTTTCGACTTTCGCCAAAAAAAATTAAAATGGCGAAGTGGCTAAAGGTGGCGAAACTAAAAAAAGATAGCAAAACTAGTGAAAGACAGTAAAATTAACAAAAAAGCAAGAATAACAAGGTAATTAAAGATAATTAAACCTTTTTTTATAATTATTATATATATATAATTAGGCATCACATAGCGCGAAACTCTTATTTGTCGTGCATCAATTTGATTGGCCAATTTTGTCATAAAAAAATAAAAATTTAAGACTTTTTCATATTTTTACAATAATATTATAAAAATTAGATATTGTGAAATAATGGATCTATGTGCAAAACGTTGTGCTGAACATTTTAATTAGAAGTGAAAAGATTGGTTATCTTAATAAAATTTTGAGCAATCAACAAAAATAAGAAAAAAAAATGAAAAATCCTTTTAAGTAAAAATATTCAACGCAAAATTTTGCATATATTTGTTGGAAAATTTAAATCAATTTTAGACCTATCTTAAGCTAACCTAACCTTAAAAAATTTTACAAAGTATTTAGAAAAATTCGTGTAATGATGATGAGTATCGTGTTATCGATGTGGTTTTACAATTTTCTACCGACACCCATGTGTATCAAAAAAACAACTTTGTTGCAATATCTAATAAGTTTTTCAATAATTGCATCTGCTATATTAGTTCAACTTACTAATTTTGTAGCTTTCTTAAAAAAAATTTTTTTATACTAGTTTATACGAATTTTTTTATGTTTTAATGCATGCTCAATAGCACAAATCTTAGTTAATTTGTTTTTTTTTTAAAAAAAAATTAAATAAAAAAATTTGTATAAATTGATTAGAGAATAAAAATCTAGCGGTAGTTTTCTAAGCTACATTATGAAATAAATTTTTTAAATTCAGGATCCTGTTCCAAGATTTCTAATTTATCAGTTTGTAAACTAATGTAAACTTCTATTCCATCCTCGACACCAAATATTATATATAACCCATTAGCTGCAAATTTCCGTCCCATTCTCTGTTTTATAGGAGTTCCATCGCCAAAATCTATTAAATCATGCTTATGAAATTTTGCCCAATTAGTTAAAACCAAATCTTCGGCATTGTGCATACAACTTGCTACAACCAATGATTTATCTGGTTGTTGTTCAATCCAGTCAATTATAGATCGAATACGACTTTCATTCATATCTGTAACAGCCTTTCGAACTTGAAGTGCTACTGAAGATGGTGAACCGTTAATCAATTGAGAGACAAGCATTTTTGGATATATTTGACTAAACATAAATAATATAATATTGAAGTTATTTTTAAGCATAAAAAAAAAAACAACAATGATATAATAATAAACGAATAAAATCTATTTACAGAGCAACGTTGCCATAATAATTTTTGGGAATATTTAATCTATCGCGTCCATTAAGAGCAAAGCTACAGAATATTTCAGTGCTTAAATCAATATTTCGAGCTCTAGTAGTTGTTCTCCAAAGATGAGCTACAAGTGCATCATTTGTTGAAATCCAACTCCCATTTGGAATGCCAAATGAATAATAATCACGTAACCTCTTAAGAACATCTTGACTAAAGCGAAAAATTTTTGTAGTTAAAGGAGAAGGATTTCCGCTGCGTGAAGAAATATTTTCTGTCGGTTTCAATACAGTATATTCGGAAGGAACATTTGTTGGAGGGTTACCACTTGCTTTTAATAAACTTCGATCATGGATAGGTGGGTCAATCTGTTCTAAACGAGCTCTTCGTCCCCAATTTTCAATAAAAGTAAAAAGACCAAAACCATCTACAACTTGATGATGTATACCAAGCCCAAGGGCTACGGATCCATCAGCAAAAGTAGTATGTTGTATTATAGATATAAATGGGTCAATTTTAGCCATTGAAGATAATTGTGTTAATCCATAAGGAGTAGCTGCATGTTCCCAATTTTTTTCTTCAAGTTGATTGATTGTAATATCAGAACATTCAGCAATGATAAATTGAACACCTTGATCATTACAATCAATGATTGATCTACCATCGGGCGCACTTTTAAGTGTACCAGCTAGAGGATAATAATCGTTTAAAACATCTCCAAGTGATTCTAAAAGTTTTTTAATGTTCATAAAATTATCTTTTTTTAAATCATTTTTAAAAAAATAAATGAGCCCTTGATAAACGGGTGGCATGATAATGTCGCAATTAGAAAGTGGAATCTGAACATGCTTCGTTGGTCTGGTTGGTTTAACGTAAAGGGTATCCTTAATTATGGCTGACATATTGAAATAGCTGACAAAATCAAACTTGATGCTACTGTTTAAAATTTCGAGGCACGTACACGATTATTTATATTTGACAACCAAGAATCACTGGTAAAAAAAAATCATATTTTAACTAAATAATAGCCAGTAATATATCAAAGGTTATACTGAGTCAATAGAAATCAAGCAAATTTTTTATAATAAAATTTTTTTATAACTTTAACCGAGAATATCTTAACAAAAACTTAACCAAATTTAATAAACCTTTTTTTAAATAATTTTTATAAATTTGTAGAATTAATTTTAAAAAAAAAATTTTATTAAATTTGATTTTGTTAAGTTGTCCTTGATTAAAGTTTTAAAAAAAACTAATTAAAAAAATACTTGCTTGATTTCTATTGACTAAACCCATATTATCGTTATATGGTGTTAAAATTACATTTTTCGGGGTTAGATCTGTAAATTACAGATTTTCGCTTTGTAGCATTCAAATATGAATAATATTTTATTTTATAACTAGACACATGAGCGATAAACATAAAGTTTACTATTGTACGTATTTTTAACATGTAAATTCAAAAATAAAGTTCCATTGTAATGCATACATATCGAATTATGGAATCAAAAGTCGATTTAACTTATTGAATCTTATAAATACAGCCTGAATACGATAAAAAAAGTTTGGGGCATGCTCAGAACGATCAAATCGATCAAATCGATCAGAACGATCAGAACGATCAAGATGATCTTATAAAATCCTTTCTGTTTTAGTCTAAAAGGAAATGTGAATGTCGACAAAGAAAGATTAGAGGGGGATATTAAACCCGATAATACTGTCCTATAAAAAAAAAAATTTGTCTAATATCTGTGTTGTGTGAAAAATGTCTAAAAAAGCGCCATTCTGTCTATTTTTTGTCTACCTTTGTTTTAATTGAAATAAACCAAAAATAGATAAAAATTAGACAGAATGGTACTTTTTTAAACATTTTTTCACATGCATAACACAAGTTTTAGACAAATTTTATACAATCCTTGGTTGTTCTCTAATATAGGTTGGTATACGGACAATTTGTCCTGTGTAAAGATTATAAAAAAAGTAAAGATGGGGCGATTACCAATTTTTATGATCTTTAGTAAGAGTGGCACCCTATATACTGAACCAAAATTACCCACCTATACTAAAGATTCCAGAAGAGACATTTTTGATCTTGCTTATAAGTTGCCCACCTTTACTAAAGATCGCATTTTCTGGAGTTGTCATAATCTTTAGTAAAGGTTGGCAAGCTCCGACAATTTTAATTCCGAGTGGCTAGTTATCACAAATTGAATCAGTTACGCCACCCGAGTTAAAATTTTCGGTGTTTGCCCAGTTATACTAAAGATTACCCACACTCTAATAATTGTCCTGTTACATTATATATGCCAACCTATACTAAATAAGATCCCAATCCTTTTTTATAGGGCTGGTGTTGAACTTATAAACTTATAAGCATATAATGAATAAAACGAAATTGGCGAATATAAAAAAACGAATGACCATTAACCGTCCTATAAAAAAGGATTGTATAAAATTTGTGTTATGCATGAGAAAAAATGTTCAAAAAAGTGCCATTATGTCTAATTTTTAAATCTGACTTTTAATCATGTATATCCATGTTTAAACATTGACAATCTAAAGATTGAATCCAATGGGTGGATCAATTATCGATTAATTAAATATAGGGTATAAGTTGGAGAAGTCTGAAAAATACATGAGTTTTTGGTTTCTATGGGTTCATTGTCTCCTCTCTTTTTTTTTTTTTTTTTTTTTTTTACTTATTAAAGTTTTGTAAAAGCAATAATTTTTCTAATGGTAACGATAAGATAGTAATAATAAAAGTATTTGCTCAACATCAATCGAAATCAGTATTTAATTATTGCGACGCTTGAACGTAAAAATAATTACAAGTTATTACATTGAGGAAGATACTTGAGAAAACGTCAATTTCATTATTATTTGTTCTATTAATATTTACCTAACGGACGAGCACTATTACGATCATTAATAATTAATAGAATATGCTACTTGAGAACACCCATAGTTAAGCCAATAACACGTAAAAATTTGAGTTCTGCAGATAATAAACAAGCAGAATTCATATTCATCGTTAAAATTTAGGAAGAAATTGATTATCAGATAATATAAGGAACGAAGTGCAACGAAGAATATGATTATATCTTAACGCATCTGACCATTCTTATAATTTCACCTTGAGATCTCTATATAAAATCGAAATATTCGATGTGTGCATGAGTTTAAATGATATAATAAGAGAATGCAATCGAAATGTGTGATCAAAGACTCAATATTAGGAACGGAGTGCAAGGTTCCCTAAGGAGTGAAATGGTGAGCGCAAATAGTTCTTCTGATTGGTCATATTTCACACGGCATTTTATATTATCGGGATCGTCCTGAAGCTAGCTATTAAAATGGACTTTCACATTGTAACACTAACCATAATGAGCTTTTATAATACGAATTTTCACACCCATAAAGAGCCTTTATAATACGAACATTTATCACCCTAACACAAATTGTAGAGCTGTTAGAATGATCATCATCTAAAACTAGCTGTTAAAATGATTTTATAATAAACTTTCACATCCTAACAATAACCATATAGAATTTTTATAATACGAACTTACTCACCCTAACACTAATCATAAAAAGCTGTTATAACGATCATCCTAACACCAACCATAAAGAGCGTTAGAATACTAGAGATTGAACCCATTTATAAAACCCTTACCCGGGTATTATTAATTTATGTGGGTTATCAGGATAAATTATTTTCAGTTACAGGTAGGGTTAAAAAAAAGAACGGTTTAAATAGTTTTTGGATTTTTTTAAAATATTTTAAAAAAAAAACTTTTAAAACATTGGCGCTGAGACTAAATCTATTAGGCTAAAACGCCGATTCTGATTGGTTAGTTAGAATCACCTAGTTTCATAGAGATAACTTTTAAAGAAAAAAATATACACTTTATAACCTTTCGTTTATTTCTGGTTTAACTGGCTGTTTAACTATTTGTATATATATATATATATTTTGTACGTTCCTTCTAATTTAGATGCATAACTATACATAGTGTTCCAAAAATGTAGAACGGATCGGATTCGGATTTTATGCAGATCCTAACCGCCGGATCGGTTTTGGCCCAGAAATTTCGGATTGGGCCCGGATTGAGAAGGATTGGGCCTGATTTAAAATTAGGGTACAAATTGAGCGGGATTGGGCCTAATTTCAATTTTTTTTTTTTTGCGTTAACAACAAACTATCAAGAAGCTTTAACTTTACGCTCGATTCAGCAAAACAAACTCAACTGTCAATATATAATTTGGTTAAGCCACCAGTAATACGAGCAGGAGTAGATTAAAACAACTATGTTGTATGAATCTTGAGAATAAGCTGGGCTACTGTTACGAATCGAATTCATATTAAATCGGGTCATTGGTATTATGAACTTTGCTTCTTTGACAATTTTGATAATGCATTTCTCAAAAACTTACTTTTACTAAATAT